CACAGTGTCTATAAACTGTTCTAGAATGTACCCTTGGATTAAGTCAGGCCACTGGAGAACTACATATTTAAGCTGTAATCTGTAATATGTTGACTCTCGTGGAGTTGCTTTACTGAACAGTGCTTTGGCATATGCACAAGGCTATACTGAGCCCATCAAACAATGGGGTGTTGTTGAAGATGCCCCCTACCGGCATCCATTACATCCATCTCTTTATGTGAAACCATGGGAGATCCTTGTGTCCTATCATAGCATCCAGGACAGCTGTGTTTCTACAGCAACTTTGAACAACTGCCTTGTTATCTTCTTGACTATATGGCTTTTTTGGATGGATTTCTCTTTTTCCATTGGCTGCAAGGAAGCTCAGAGACATTTGTAGTCCATTTCTATCAAGTGTTCAGGACATTATAGAATTAATTTTGTGTGCTAATCTTAACCCAACATTCATTTCATTTTTCTCTTTATTTTTTTTCACTTTTCTGTACATTTAAGTTTGTGTGGAATACGTGTTTTTGAGAATCACTTTCAATTATTTCTGTTATGAGATCAGATTTAATTAAAAAAACAAGCTGCAAAACATGCTCTTTAAAGAAGAGGAAAGTCACCCTTAACTTCACTTGTCATTAGTGGCCTCAATTATGTAGGAAACAGTGCAGGACACTCACATCTATTCAGCTCTCGCGCTGGAGGTGCTCTCCTCGCAGCCCTGAGAAGTAGAAATTGTCATCCCCCATTTTTCACGAGGAAACAAAAAAGGAAAAATTAAGCAATAGAAACATTGTCATAAATGTGCCCTATGCAAATAATAAAAAAAATACTTACAGCAGCCTACAATTGTTTGTACCCTGTTGCAATTTACAAAGGAGTTTTCCGACCACTATTTTATTTAACTCAACACAATTTGGGGAGATGCATGTTTTTGGTCTTCATAGCATCTATGAGGAAATAAACTTGGAGGGAGTTTATAAACTATTGGTCTATTTCTTAAATTCAGACTCACTACTTTTAACACACATCACAAGATTCAAATCCCACCTATCCCGAAAGGTCTACGTACTGATGACATTTGAAAGATCCTGATTGCTTCCTCTCGCGTCCCACTCTCCACCCGCTGTCATCCAGCTTCCCATTGTAGCCTCTCATGTGATAATACTGATAATAACTTTAATGCTAGCATTTTATTGAGGGCTTACTATGTTCTAGGTACTGACTGTGCTTCATGAATTAATATACTTCTAAGCCCATGCCCTAAGGTAGATATGCTTCCCCTGGATTGCATCCACATTTTATAGACTGTACACAAACTTGCCTTCCATCTCACAGCTAATTGGTGGCAGAGTTGGGTTTTAACCCAAGATTTCTACCTTGAGAGCCTAGGCTGGGAGATACTGAGCAGAAGATCATGGGATACACCAGCTTATTTCCCAAGGGCACAGAGCCGGTTCTCCTGCCTGTCTTACCGTCTTTTCTCCTTCAGTGGCCCCCTGTGTGTGTGTGTGTGTGTGTGTGTGTGTGTGTGTGTGTGTGTGTGGAGAGCAGGGGGTCAGTCAAGAGGATGAGTGAGCATTCCTATACATGCAGTGAAGGCTGAGCTTTGGACTTACGATCCTCTCTCCAGCCTCATCTTAAATCCTGCCACTCTGGCCCCAGTCTGCATCCACCCTCCGCCTCTGTCACCACCAGCCTCCCATCTTCTGCTCCCTCAGTGGGATGGGCCTTGCTGCAGCCACCCCATGCCTCCCATCTAGGATGCTTTTTTAATCTCAGTCTAATTGGTTTGCCTGTCTTGCTGGGATGCTTAATTGGGCATAAGCATATTCCACGGATCCTGTGCCTTTGTGAGTTCTGCCATCTCCTCCAAGGGGAATTTGCTTGCGCTGTGGGCTCAGAATGAAAGATATGTTTTATGTTGTGCTCAATTCACTGAGAACTTACATGAAATTGTTCCTGGGCCAGCAGAGCAGTTAGGCAATATGACAAGCAAGACTTTCTCACTCTTTTCTTTTTTACTTATTTTTTTAAGGCGGCACGTCGCATTCGAAAGGGCACTGTCCTGGAGTCCCGAGCTGGGCTCTGATTTCAGCCCTGTCAGTCTCTTTTATGTGATCTTGGGCAGATAACTTAATGTCTTTGAAATTCAGTTTTCCCATCCATGAGTTGAGTGAGTTAAATTTGGTGTTTTCTATGAAAGGCGCCAGTGATGCTTTTAGAACTGGGGTCACACTCCCTATGGGCCAAATCCAGCCTGCCATCTGCTTTTGTAAATAAAGTTTTATTGGAACACAGCCAGGCTCACTTATGTATATGCACTGTTTATGGTAGCAAAACCAAAATATTTACTGTATGGCCCTTTACAGAAAACAAGACTGCCTGCTCCTTGTTTAGAACACAAGTCAGATTGGGTCATTGTTCAAAACCTTGTTTTGACTTTCTATATTACTTATAATTTAAAAATAAAAAAAATATTTACCAAATCTAACATAGCCTTGGAGATCTTTTGATTCCATATTTTGAGGGTTTCTTTCCTATCACTGTTTCTTTGTTCTCATCTCATCTACTCATCTCCTCATCTAGACCTGCCTCCTCGATGCTCCCCAAACCTAGCGAACACAGTTCTACCTCAGGACCCTGGCACCTGCAGTTTCTTCTTCCTAGATCACTTTTCTGCCCAGTGGCTCCATGAACTCGTCTTCATTTCCTGCAAGTCTCTCCTTAAATGTCATCAAATCAGGAAGGCTTTTCCTGGCCACGTATATAAAACCACACCGTCCCCCCACCTCTGGACATCCTGACCTCCTTCCTCTGCTTTGTTCGTCTTCATGACACACGACTGCTGCTCACACATAGGCATCCCTCTCCCCAACTGTCCTGTCCTCTCTCATCCTCCTGCATTTTGCACACAGGGCTCATCCTTCCTGAAACGTTCTTTCACTTTCCATATCCAAATCCCACATTCCCTCCAAGATTCAACCTGCACAGGAGAACTCTTTCACATCTGTGCGCCCACCGCAGCCCCTCCTCCCCACCGGGTCGGGGACCCTCCTGTCTGACTGACGTGACCATTGCACCCAGCACACCTAGTGACATAGCTTTCCTCAGCATCCCCTTTCCTCCAGGGGCTGGAGTTCCTTAGGCAGGGACTCCGTCGGCAGTGTGGACACGCAGTGCCTGGCTCGGGGCCAGTGCTTCATAACACGCCCCAGTGCCTGGGCCCTTCCCAAGAGCCCGGCACTGCTCAGCGGGCCGTGCACCCCCTCTCCTAGGCCTTCCGTCCACCCCAGGGAGGAGAAGGGCCCCAGTGTTTCCAGGGAAGCGACACAGACAGCAGGCCCGGGGTGTGTAGCTGGTGCATATCAGGAAACCTAAGGAGGCTGCTAAAAAACAACCAAAGGAACTGTGTCGTGGGCTCGTAATGTTGTGGTAGAGGCAATATTCCTTTGTGTCAGTCCTGGTTCTGCCATGGTTTTTATATCTACCTCTCCACAACTACATTACAAGAGTGATTTAAGAATCAGTGTACCGTGTGTGAGGTACTGAGCTCACTTTATTTAAAATTTGAACCATGTTATGAATTGTGGACTTCTAGAAATCCCTTCGGCAGACATAGAGCGCAAGCTCTGAGGCTTGGAAAGGTACCCGGTGTGAAAGCTTTTGCAGGCCCAGCCTCCTCTGCACCAGGTCAGGCTCCGCCACTGAGTTACCTGGGCGCACCCGGCGGGATCCCCACCCCGCTCTGCCCCTTCTGGCTCCGGCCCGTCCTTCATTTCTCTCTCCCACCTTGCGGCGGGAGAGAGAGACCCTTTCATTAAACCCCGGTTCCCGTCATTTATCTAAGCTGACCTTACATTCCTCTTGGCTGGTGTGTTTTTCTCCAGGGACCTGGAGCTTGTAACTCAGGCAGGTTGGAGAGCTGGTTGTTCCGGGGGAACTTGGTCATTGGTGGGAGCGGAGGTCATTGCTGAAGCGAAAGGAGCCTGACCCAAGGCCCCTTAAATTCCTGCTGGTATTCAGTGTGCAAGCGCCTGGTCCCTCATCCAGGAACCTGTGGTGATTTCCGTGCCTGGGAATTTGTGAGGAAATTATGTTATGAAGCTATCTTTCACACTGAATTAGTGCCTAGCAGTTTCCAAAGGCATTTTCACACCCTGTGCTTCATGGAACCTGTGCTTCAGCAATAGGAAATAAATAATATTATTTGGATGTTTTACATGAGGAAAGGTAGGTCCAGAGAAGTGACATGCTCTTCCCAAGGTCATACCACACAGTTTGCAAGAGGCAGAGTGAGAGCCTGAGTCGGACTCCCAAGTTCAGTGCTGTCTGGTCTTGACCCACTCTGTCATTAGTGGGGGGAGAATTGAGCCCCCCCCCACACGCACACAATCTTCAGGACACAGCTTAATATCTTCCAAATTGCTGTTGCTCGATGAATTCATGTTAAAATTTTGAACTAAACGAGGCTCTGGGCTTGTTATTTGATTTTGTAATGGTCTTAGAACAGGTTTCCATTTGCTTTGTGCCTTAGATCTTATCCATGGTTACACAGACTGCCTTCCTCTGTTCGTCCCTTCTTTCCTTGCATCCATCAATTTTTTATTTATTTGTCCAGCTAACATTCTTATGACTCCTACCATGTAACATGTACCATGTACCTAGGAAGATTCCATCTCTGTGGTGTCATTCACAGTCTAGGGAGAGAGATGGATAATATGAGACAACAGTGATCTTTGGAAATAAATAAATATATTTATTTCCTATTGACACTCTGTAAGTTACACAAGAACATGACTGTGTCTATCTGGTTTTCCAAAGTCTCCCAGTGATGAGAAGTGTGTTCAATAAATATTTGTTGGCTGAACAGGATTGAGAGCTCCAGCTCTAAGTACCACTTGACAAATATGAAAAATAATTGTGGTCGCTCTCTCACGTAGAGGGATGGATGGCTGGGCAGACTTGGGGTGCAGGTGGAAAGTTGAAGAGTCTCACTCCTCTCTCCTGCCCAGGGAGTTTGCCCGTTGGAAGGTGAGGAACACAGCCATCGAGAGGAGAGACCTGGTCCGTCATCCAGTGCCCCTCATGCCGGAGTTTCAAAGGAGCATCCGCCTGCTTGGCAGGAGACCCACCACTCAGCAGTTCATCGATACCATCATCAAAAAGTACGGCACCCACCTCCTCATCTCCGCCACCTTGGGAGGTAGGTCAGCAGCCACTGGGCCGTAGCCTTGTCATGACTTTGGGTCTGGGACGGAGGGGAGGGCCGGACGCCCTGGGATCAAAGCTGAATTAATGTCTGTGCCATGGCATATCACTCCCATGTTTATATTGCCACAGAAGCCAAACTGTGCTGCTTCTGTGATTGCCCCAGAGCAATTGATTCTGTTCTCCGGACGGTCCTCTGACTTGACAGCTTTACTGACTTCCGTGGAACCATGGCTTCACCTTGGAATTAGCTCAGTTTGTTGGGAATGCGTAATTTGGCTGTTGTATTTGTTCCTTTTGGAATGTCGTCTAATCTGGGGAAATCATGAAAATTCAGATGCTGTTTAGAGAATTGCTGTTAATTTAAGTGTGCTTGAGAGATTGATAACTTGAGGTAAGCATTTTACAAAGGGGGTGTCATTAGCATATGCTGTGGGCTTGGTTCCTGCGCAGGCAGACTAGAGGGCAGACTGGCTGCGCCACTCCACTCAGCCTTGCCCATCCCTCCCACCAAGTCCCCGGGGTCTTCAAGGGCACAAGGAGCAGAGGAGAGGGCGAGGGAGCAAAGAAATAAAAAAAAGGGAGGGGCTGGTAGAGACGAGTGCATGCAGGTGCCTGTGGGTCTTGCCTGCGTGCATCATTTTATATTATAAGCTACAATCCCTCGGTCATCAGTTTTCTTCTGACACAGTGACCAGGTCCACCTGAGTTTAAGAAAACCCCCTTGGTGGTAGGGCACCATGCCACTACTCAGAGAGCTGCTAAGTGGCATTTGGCTATGGCTTACCGCAGCTAAATAAGGTCGGTATATTGACAGGGCAGGCTGGGTGGATTGAGGTGCAGTTAGTTATACTAGATAATCTTCCTCCTCAAAGGGAGGGTGAGCCCCAGGAGCTGAAGCAGGTCATACGCACTGCAGGGAGGGAGTGGCTGTCCAGGCGGACAGGAGCGGGCCGGGGAAGGAGGGAGCACACCGTGTACATTTTCAGGAAGGTCGGACTAGGAAGTTGATGGTGTGAGGGACATGGATTGGTCAGGCAAACTCATTCATTCTTATAATAATAGCCACTATTTATTGAGTATTTGCCCATAGCTGGCATTGTGCATTGTCTTTAGTTCTCAAAATCTGCACATTAAGTCAAATTATCTGCATTTTATAGATAAAGAAGCTGAAACTCAGAAGAGGTATGGCTAGTAAGTGGCAGAGCTAAAGTCTGTTTTTGTTTTTTTTAATTCAATGTGTTTAAACAAAACCAGAAAACTTAAACTTAGTTTTTAATTTAGGGCTTTCAGTCCACAAAGCCTGCATTAGTTTTTGCCCCAACATCAATCTTGTCTTTAACCAACTAATCCATCCACCGACCCACCCACTTCCCAAAACAACCAGCCCGCGTGTATTTGTGGCTTGTTGCTAGTCAGAGATTAGGTGACGTTGGACTTTGAATGTTAAGTCATGGAGTATAAAGTCTATTCTCTTGTAAAGGGAAAATGAAACCACTTCTACCTGGAGTGTTGCATTAACCTGGATCCTTTCCTTTGAACTTCTCCCACTTCCCATTTTACCTGAAAAGTAAAATTGTTGCCACCAATTCAGTTCTTCCATTAGAGACTATGTTCTGTCCGAGTCTCTGGAAAACCCAAATAACAAAGACCTTCCTCGTGCAGTGAAATATATTTTTAATTTTCCAAGGCGTGGTGGTGAATTATTCACAGAGCCTTGTTCCTCTCCTGTTTTCACAGCACAGCATTTTAAAATATGCAAAGCTTTGGAGTGAGTTCTGGTGTTGGACAGCAGGCCCTAGATTGTTGTTCCCCCAACGTGGGGGACTGGGAGGACGAGAGGGAAAGATTGACTCTTGATTGAACACAATGTGCCAGAAACCCTGCGAGGTCCTCCTCACATCATCATTTCATTCATTCGTTCATTCATGGGAAAATGTTTCTTAAGATCCTCGTGCAGAGGGAAAGAAAGGAGGTGGTAAGCTCTAGTGAACGAAAGGGCAGGCTCTGGGCTTTGATTAACCGAGTTCCCATCTCGCCTCCCACTCCTCACAGGGTTTGTGTCACCTTGGCAAGTTACTCTTTCTCTAAGCCTTGGTTTGCCCTCTTATAAGTGGAAATAACTATAATAAACTATAATGCTTCCTTAATTTATACTGTGAGGATTCAATAAAATGATGCATCAAAACTGCTCAGTGCAGTGTTTTGCACCTAACAAACTGTTGCTCTTATTATCGCTAGTATTGTTGTTAGCCCTGGCCAGTTTGCTCAGTGGTTAGAGCATCGGCCCATGGACTGAAAGGTCCCAGGTTCGATTCCAACCAAGGGCACTTACCTCAGTGCAGGAGGCAAGCAATCGATGTGTCTCTCTTACATCAATGTTCCTCTCTCTCTCTCTCTTCCACTCTCTCTGAAAAGCAATGGAAAAAATACCCTTGGGTGACGATTAAAAACACATATATATTATTACTGTTATTATTCAGTGGGGCTCAGGAACTTCAGGACTCAGGATTAAAACCCATTCCTACTGCTCACTAGGTGAATGGGAGACATTGAACAATTCATTTTCCTGTCTGGATCTGAATTTTCCTGTCTAAATAGAAGGAAGTGAAGAAAATTTTATTCACTATAATTTTTCCTAAGGAGCACGCTGTGTTCGTTTAGGAGAAATGCTTTGATAAGCTGTTTGAGGTGTCAGGTGAGTTCCTAAGGGTATACTCAGACAACAACGGCCATCCGTAAACTGTCACATGTGGGACAAGTAAATGCATTTGGATGGCTCCCGAGGGAGAAGAAAGTGGAAGAGAAGGGAGTGAGAAAGAAGTGGAGGCGACGGGAGGGCTGACAACTAAGACTAATCCATGGGATCCTCACAGTTTTGCTGAGATCTATTAAGCTCCTAAAATGCTTGGTATTTGTGGGTTTCCTATGGAAGGTGGTGAAAGGAAATTTGGGGGTCTAGGGTGACATGCAGGAATACCAATTTCCCTTAGTCTCTCAAAAGATCTTTTTTGGGCCCAGAGGACGCCCCCTGGAGCCTGGGTATCTGTGTGATCTGCATGATAAGCTTGCAGCATGCATAGACGGGTGTGTGCACATGTCCCCCTGTGCTTGGATATAAGTGAGCCTGTGCGTGGACTTAACCTGCACACTCGGTGCACACACGCNTGCACATGTCCCCCTGTGCTTGGATATAAGTGAGCCTGTGCGTGGACTTACCTGCACACTCAGTGCACACACGCTCACTCACTGGGCTTATGCATATGGATGCAGTATCCACATATGTGAATATATGTGAGCTTGTACATGTCTGTAAATGTGTGCTTATTGCAGGAATGCCTTCTTACGTGTGAGGTTTCATGTTTTTGCATTTGTGTGTAAGTTTATGTGTTTATCCATTATTTCCCACCCTGCATTTTGGGATATCTCCCCTTGGCTAAGAGGAAAGCTGAGAATAAAGTCACAGGGACTCAGAAGGAAAGGATCAGGGCTGCCCCAAAGGCCTACAGATCAGACACCCCCATCCCCCATCTGGAAGTAGCATCCCCCATTGACTCAAAATGTCAGATGATCAGCTTCCCCCCAACCCCCATCCCTGTGTGGCTGAGTCCACTTTGTTCCCCTCGGAAAGTCCTGCTGCAGNGATGATCAGCTTCCCCCCAACCCCCATCCCTGTGTGGCTGAGTCCACTTTCTTCCCCTCGGAAAGTCCTGCTGCNCATCCCCCATTGACTCAAAATGTCAGATGATCAGCTTCCCCCCAACCCCCATCCCTGTGTGGCTGAGTCCACTTTGTTCCCCTCGGAAAGTCCTGCTGCAGAGAGAGAGGCAAAGGCCCCGGAGGACAGGGCCCAGGAAAGGCCTCTGCGGGTGAAGAGGCAATTTGCAGCAATGCCCTAATGGGAAAGCCACTCTAAACAGAACATTCTCTTAATAAACACAAAATTAAGTCTTAATAATGCAGCGAGAAGCCCATTAACCCCTCTTGATCTAAGGTTTGCTTCTGCCAGTCCTCAGTCCAGAGGGACTGGGCTGATTTCACCTCCTTTTTCACGGGCCCCTTAGAGTGCCTGAGCTGACTCCTGCAATATTTATTTCCTCTTCCACGTGCCTCTAACTTCTAGCATATTCGGTTATTTAATCATTTACCTTTCCATCCATCTATCTCTTCATCTACTCAGTCAATCATCTATCCACCCACCCATCCATCAACCTATCCATCTATCCTTCAAATCATAACAGAACACCCGCTCTTCATCTGACTCAGGAGAAGCAAGGCGAATCCTGTTCCCCCACCCCTGAGAGCAAGTCTAGTTGTATCTAAAGTCATTTTTAAGCCAGATCTATTCGGATTGCTATGGTGTTCAAAGGATGCAAGGTCATGTCCTCTTGGGTAACCGGTGAAGCCTTCACGGGAGACTGTAAACACGAGTGTTATTCTCAACTCAAATCTCGGTACAGGAGACCCAGAGATTAATTGTGGTGATGATGAATCTTCTTACTGGGAGATTTCAGTCAAGTAATCGAGGCAGATATGACAATCACATAGGACAAATACCATGATCATTTGTTAAGCACATAATACATACCCTTATTGTGCTAGGTAATGACAATGAAATGAGGAAAGACTCACATACTCTGACGTCACAGTGCTTCTCCTCTAGGGAAGGAGACAGCTGTCAAATGAGCAATCACCAGAAAATGTGATAGGTGATGTATGGCAGAAATAAGAGACTATGGGAGCACGTGGTTAGAGTTCTTAAGCAATTCAAGAGTGGAGGATTCAGGGAAGACTTCTCAGAGGAGGTGTTATCTTGGGTGACACTTAAAGGATGAGTAGAAGTAAGCAGGAGAAAAGCAGAAGAGCGGACTCCCAACAATGAGAGAAAGTGAGGTGCATTTGTGCAGGCTAGAGCACACCTAGAGAGTGGCAAGGGAGACAGCAGGAGAGACCAGATCAGCGGGGCCCCGTGTCCCTCATTAGCAACAGGGAGGC